GTTCTGTATGCTTCGATTACGTGAATGTCAGATTGTTTCCTCATATTTGGGAAGTTTTCTGCTATTCTGCCCATATTTTTTTTAATGTCATTTGTATTGACTCCTTCTTTCTCACTGATGCCTGTTAGTCTCACATTGTTCGTCTTTACATCATCTTGCAGGTGATGGATTATTCTTTCCTGCATCCTCCTTGTTTTTAAGAGATCCTTTCTTACCTTTTCACTAGCTGCACCAGCGTCTTCAAGATCTGAAACTCTTGTCTTCACGTTCACTTAAACAGTTTTGCAAGCTTGTGAGTGAGATTTTAAAGTCCTCTATATCTCTTTGACTCTGCTTCATGCAATCTATTTCTTTCCTGTATTGTTCATTCAAGGAATCCATCATTTTTCTAATCTCCTCTATTTTTTTTTATCAATATCTTCTTGAAAAGTAGTTATTCTTTTACTGCAGTGTTTTCTTCAGATTAGGTTTCCTCCCTATGTTTCTGTAGTTGATTCTTTACTTCAGATGCCATGAGTTTTGAGAATTTTTATTTCAGAAAATTCCACTCTGAGTTCCTCTATAACTTTCTGCTTTTGCTTATTTACTATCAACACTATTAATTCGTACATTTGAGCTGAGCTAGTAGAAAAGAATTCTGCTTTGAGTTCCTCTGTGACTTTCTGTAGTTGCTTATTTACTATCGACACTATAAATTCATATGTTTGAGCTGAGCTAGTGTCCTCTACGCTTATTCTTGGTGAGCATTGGGTTTCCTCCATGTTTCTGCATTTGATTCTTTACTGCACATGTTATTAATTCGGGGATTTCTTTTTTCATTTCCAATCTGAGTTCCTCTATACCTTTCTGTGGCTGTTTATTTCAGAAGCCGTTGATTCATTGATTTCAGCTGTGTGATTCACAATTTGTCCTGTGTTAGTGTCCTCTGCACTTCTTATGGGTGGGCTTGGGTCTGAGATTGCATTTTCCTCCTCCTCATTGGCATTTTGTATAGCACTGTCTTCTGACCTTTGTTGTAGAGCTTTGTTGCAGTTATAACCTCAGCATCTACTGAAATTCAGGTGCAGATCTACAAAGTTTGGATTTATCCAGCTGTGCCTGGCTTGGATCTGGCTGCTGTGCTCAGCTCCTTCTTGCTGCTGCCCTTGGGAGTGAACCTCTTGTGCCCGTTTGGCAAGATGTTCTGCTGCTGGACTAGCTGGGTGGTTCTGTCCCCTACTCTCTCTGCAGGGATTGTATCTGCAGGATTTCACCTCAGGCCTGTATGCCAGTCTTGAGCTGAGTCTGGAGGGGATAAGGTGGAGTAGGGGGGAGAGGCAGCTCTCCCACACACTCACCAGGCCTGGTCTAGGACTGGATCTGGGGGTCCCCAGAACATGGCAGAAATTCTCACTGGGTGGGCAGATGGGGGGGGTGCTGCGGGGTGTTGGCATTGAGTCCCAAAGGCTCTAACCCACACTGCGCCTGGGCTGGGACCGGCAGGTCCCGCTGGCACAGGGTAGCCGGAAGCTCTCCCACACACTCATCAGGCCTGGGCTAGGACTGGATTGGGGGTTCCTGGAATGTGGCAGAAATTTCTACTTGGTGGGCGGGGTGGGGTGGTGCTGCGGAGTGGTGGGGGGGTGTCCCAAGGGGGTGGAAGAGGGTCTCACCCACACTGTGCCTGGGCTGGGACCAGCAGGTTCCACCCACACAGGGTAGCCGGAAGCTCCCACACCAGAAATTTATTTTTGTATCTTAAAAAATTTTTCCTCTGGCCTTCTAATGTATCAGAAGTACTTTAAAGATTCTTATTTGTAAAGTCACAATTCAGTTTTGCAGCAAAAAGCCCCCAAAATTATTAACAACTTCTTAAATCCCTGTAATAGTATAATTTTAATGCTCTCTAGAGAAGTATCTTCATGTTAAGAACACTTGACAGAAGTTTTAAGAAAAGCTGCCATTTATAATGACCTATGTATTTTTAAATCAATAATTGTTTTATGAAAAATTTAAGGATGATAAATAGTGATTTTGTTTTTTCAGAGTGGTCATTTAATACCATTTTTTGTTCTGGCTTTTTCATGAGATCATTTTTTGAAAACTACACACAATATGCTTCTAGAATTTATCACATCAGATTATTTTAAATAGTATCACCCATGAAAAATAACTACCAAAAAAAAGTGGTTCAAAATTTCAGACTCATTGTTTTATAGGTCCTGCATAACTTCATCCAGATGATGAAGTCCAAACTTTACGGGTCGTCCTGGTTCATGCCATCACCACCCATGACGGTTAGTCCCTCTGCATTGTGCTGGATGCTGTTTCCACCCTTGTCAGAGCTGGCGTCCCGGCGCTGCAGCACCTGGCCTCACTTGTCCATGCTGCTTCTGACTGCTATTTGGAGTGCTGACAACCAGAGGAACTTGTCATCCTCCGCTTCAGTAGCACAGATCCATTCATGCTTTGGACCTTGAAGAATAAATGCATTCTTGACATCTGTAAGAATGTTTTAGGTACACTAATTATTACTCTGCAAGTGACAGCCAAAAAATGGTGTTTTAAAATGTGGCAGGAAAATTACAAGTTTAAGCCCAAGTGAATGACTTAATGACTTGAGACCCTCTCAAAATGTAAAATGAACTGGAGATAAAGCTCAGCACAAGGTTCTAAGTTCAATCCCCAGTACCAGAAAAAAAAAAAAAAATTAGAATTGACTCGTTCATCTTTTTTTAAGAATTTCATGAAACCTAAAAGCAAAGATTCAAAGCAAATACAAATCCAGTTTAAGATACAACTGAATAATTCAAACACCATTAAAGTAATCTTGTCCTCATACAATGAGCAATTATCTTAGAGACCAAATGGTAGACAATGTGATGTTCCTTAGTTCCTTGTCTCATTCCAGAAGAAACTGAAACTGATAAGGATGTTTACTAGTAGTTTCAGTGATACCTCTGTTGTTGGAGGACTCCAAGCACAAACCTTCTGCTACTTGAGCAGCAAAGTCCAAAAAACTCTGCTTGGTGTTCGTAACTGTGGTCCATAGATGAACCAAAAATCCATCTTGGGGGAGAAAACCTGCGCAGGCTGAAGGTCACTCACGTCATGTCTCCCCGCACATGCAAAGGGGTGAAGCTTCAGTCTAAGCACCGCTCTCACCGACCTACGTGCAGCGCCTTTCTTATTGTGTTAGAACATTCATCATGGGGGGGGGGGGGTGCCCTTTATCTGCATAAAATAACCATGGCTCCAAAGAAAGTAATGACCTGAGCAGTAAAGCTATGAAGAAGACGCTTGAGAACTATGATAGAGTTAATCACTGTGGAATTTTGTGATAAATTATATTTCTGTGAAACTATGAATGAAATGTTTAAATCACTAAGAATCCTTTGCAAATCTGTGGATTGCTTTATAGAAAAAGTTCCAGTTTCAGTGTGAGTTTAAGGAAGAAAATGTAAGGTCAAATTTTAATGACCATTTAGTCCTAGCAGAATAGTCTAGTTAAAAGTCCTAGAAGAATGAATTTAGAAGGTTAATTTTTGGGGTCTCAATCAATTATGTGGTTTTTCCATTATCTCTTAGAGAAAAAATATGTTCTTGAACTTTTCATGTTGGAACACAAATTAAGAATGAATTTTGTTCACAGCCAGGGTATCACTGTATTTTGGTTAGGAGATGCCAAAAGCTAGACCTAGACAACCTTGGTAGGAGGGCGAGTGACAGCCAACTACTACAGTCAGGATATATAATCAAGTCATAAGAGCATAGTGATTATGAGGGTGGAAGGGGACCAAAGAAAGCTGTTTCATACATTAACCACATTCAGTGGGGATGTGTAACTTTTTACCCAGGATCACCTTACAGATGCCACATAATCTCAGCAAATACTTTTTCCCACACTTGGTGTTCATCTTTCTCTCAGGCTCAGTTTTAGATGGGCCTGAAGGTATTGGGAAGCTGACTTTTCATTGCGATGAGTTCTTCCACTAAGGTCTTGGTTCTTGCTTCAGCCTGAAGTCCTATTTTTACATGCAGTTAAAAAAAATACTGAAATAAGAGCTACTGCATTCTTGTCTGGCCTAACAAATACAAGAAACAGATGCAGATCCTTTTAAGCTTGGGAAGTAGACAGAATGAGGACTAAAGTCACCTAGGTTTAAGTAGGATTTGTTTTGTGATAAATTATATTTCTGTTGAAATTATGAATGAAATGTTTAAGATTTAATGTTAACAGATCTAAGAATCCTTTGCAGATCTGTTCCTTTATAGAAAACTCCCAGCTGCAGTATGAGTTTAAGGAAGAAAATTTTCAGTTAAATCTTAATGAGCACTTAGTCCTAGTAGAATAGAAATTTAATAAATATTAATGCATGTTAATAAATATAAAACTAAAATAGTGCTTTAAGTGTGTGTGAGATCTTTAGATGGTGGAGAGTACTTAAGCCCTTAGGTCAGGCTGCCTCAGAGAACTACTGTGATTGTGCGGGGTCTCCTCCTCTGAGATGACAAAAGCTGCTCGGATCTCCAGGGTTGTCTGACAGTGCCCTCCTCCCTTTTGTTCTCTCAGAGGTAGCTGACAGTTAATGAATTCCTCATGTTTGAAGGATTTTTTTTTTTTTTTTTTTTTTTTTTTTTTTTTTGCGGAACCAGGGATTGAACTCAGGCCCTTCCAGCAAGCACTTGTTCTACTGAGCTATCTCCCTGGCCCTAATTTATATTTTTATTTTATTCATTTAGTCCTTTTAGAGTTCTTTTGGTACTGGGAATTGAACTCAGGACCTTGTGCTTACCAGGCAGGCATTATACTGCTCAGCTATCTCCCCAGCCCTATGAAGGATTACTTATACACTGTCCAATTATAACCCCAGCCCTTTTGCGACTTTTCTATTTTAATAATGAGCTTTCTATAAAATAGCTTTCTATAAATTTGCTTCAAAAAGATCCCTTTTAAAGGAGAACAATACGTACACTTGGAATCTGGGATATCTTCTATAAGTAATCTGTGAAGGGCCACCGATGCAGTAAACTGGTAGGTGGTTTTTGAAGTCCTTTCAAACGGAATATGAGATGTGCCCCGACTAGAAATAAGCAGTGCATCGTTGAAGAGGAAGAGCGTGAGGTCACAGACTTGTTCATAGAGCCTGGGGTGAAATAGAGGAGCGCACCGTTAACATGCATTCATGCTTTGTTAAAAAGTTAATCATCTTTAAATTGATTGAGACATCTACTCATTTCACTACAACCTGTTAGAGTGAGTTCTCAGTAAAATTTTCCTCCTGGTTTGTTTAATTCCTGGTGGACAAAGACCTCATTACCAGTATGGGCAAAAGGACCA